AAAGAGACCTGAGCACGGCAGGTGCAAGGGGAGTGCAAGCATTTTAGTATTGCATGAGCATGGTGGGGAGTTCAGGAGGCATTGAGAGGTCAGCTGACCCATCAAAAAGGGCCTTTGATTTATGGTCATATCCTGGGAAAGAAGAGGAGCCCTTGAGTGATTTTTAAGTTGAATGACATTATCAGATTTGCCTTCAGGATACCTCAACTGGGGACTGAGGAGGAGATAAGTCTGAGGGGAACAGGACAGGAGCAGGGTACATGGAATTTCTCAAAGTTCTCTTGGAGGAAAGTAATAGGATGGCAAAACTTCTCTTTAAGTAATGGGAATTTTCTAAAGAATAGGGAAAATTTAGTTAGTCATACAGATTATGTTTTTGGTGAGTACTGAGTAAACTTAACTTTAAAAACTCAGTAAATCTAAATAGAAGAATGTTGCTAAGTGTTACTAAGCATGTTTCTAATGGATGGTAAAGTAGTTAAATTCATGGCATTTAGACGCTGAATCCTTTGTCTAGGTTTTCAGGGGAAATAAGACCATGAAAGACAAATAGGCTTCTTCTTAAGGCAAAGGGCGCAATAAGAAAGGTTTCCTGTTCTGATGGAATGGAGGAGACCACATCAATAAGACCTCAGCCCTGGCCACAGAGTGCACCTGTGCTTGGCATTAATCTATCCTTTCAGGGGGTGGCCAAATCCTCTCACTCCCATGGGAAGAGCGACCCAAGTAGAACTGGTCCACCGTGCAAAGGGCATTCTTTGTCCATCCTGCATATTACACATCGTGTCCATGCCAGGATCCTGAGGGATCCTGCTCTGAGGCTTGAGGTGAGAGAATGGGCTACCAGGAAGTTAGTGTTACTTTCTACTTTGCTCTAAGAAGGTTTTTCTGCATTGTATTTTTTTAATTAAAAAAAATTTTTATTGTTGACATTATTGTAGATGTCTCAATTTACCTCCCCATTTCATCTTTTGCTCCCCACTTCTACATTTTAAATAACAACGAGTGCTGAATTTGGGCATTCTCATAGATGGGTTTTGAGGATTTGAATGAGTCAGTCCAAAGTTATGTACAATAAGCAGGGACATGTGCTAGACGTTTTTTGCAGAATTTGGGCAGGAGATGAGGGAACAGACCAGAGAGACCATACTAGCTAGGAAGAGGGAGAGGGAATTGATCATTTAAGTTTAAGAGGTAGAACCAAGAGGTCTTGATGATTCAGTAGATGTGGAAGCTGGTGCGGGGGAGGATTCCAGCATGATCGTCAGCTCTCCAGTTTGAGTGGCTGGTGGGGTCACAAACTAAAATGGAGAACCCAGGAAGCAGACCAACTTTGGAGGCAATGAAGAGTCTAGTTTGGTCATGTTAGTTTGAGTTACCTACCGAGCATCTAGGTGGTTATTCTTTGTAGTTGGAAAGTTAATTCATATGGGTAAGATCAAAATGCCAAGCTATTCATAGGGCAAAGTCGTAGAGCATGGACTCTGGAATATTTCCATGACATAATTTTTAAAAGGAGAAAAATATTATTGGTTAAAAGTAGAGAGACCTCATATGAGAGGTCTCCTGAGTGAGGTGGGGAGATATCAGGCAATGATTAGATATATCCCTTTTTAGGGACTCTCACTATTTCTACAAACATTACCTAATGCACTGATGTCAAAGTAATATGCCTCACCTCCTCCATAAAAATCTTTAGTCTGATAGCCCGGGGATAATTGAGCCTCTGAAATAGACCTTCAGTTTTGAGTCTTAGCCCAGTTTCTCCCTTTTACTCTTTCTACAATTAGAGGGAATAATTTCTATAAAATGAGATATTTCTAATGGCTTGATGACACAATAAAACAACTGGAAGGAAGAGATGAGCCTTAAATATATCTTCAATAAGATAAACCTCAAAATATGGGAAAATTTGGTTTTAAAAAAGTAACAGGTGTTGTGATGATAATTTTTTAAAGTTTCTGATGGAAAATAGACCAAATTAGATTATAATTCTGCCATACCAGGCTTCCTAAAAGCAGGTAGGGATGAAATAGGGCCTCCTCAATGTGCTAGAGCTAAGTCTTAGAGCCCAGTCCTCTCTCTTTCTCAATGAGTTAGTCCTCAATGAAGTTGACTCATTTGAGAGTTTCTCTTATCCAAGTGCTTTCTAGGACCTTGGTGGTGTCCTAGAGAGAGCAAATTTCTATTATTCTTGTTTGCCAGAATGAAAACTCTAGCACAGGTCCCCTATTTTGCAAAAATAAACTGTAAGTGCTTTAGCACCTTTTATTCTTAGGGAGAGACACCCCAATCTTCTTTTCCAAAGTAAAAAGAAATCGAGTTTATGAATGTTCAATAGCCTCCATTCCAATCAGAACCTTTGAAAGTTAAGGCTGGATGGGATCTCAGAAAAGCACTGCTGAGAGTTTTATTTTTTAAATATTTATTTATCTTTAGAGAGGGGAAAAGAGGGAGAAAGAGAGGAAGAGAAACATCATCAGTTGGTTGACTCTCTTACATGCTCAACCAGGACCCAGCCTGCAACCTAGACATGTGCCCTGACCGGGAAACAAACAGGCGATCTTTTACTTTGTAGGACAATGTCCAACCAAATGATCCACATTGGTCAGGGCAGGTGCTGTTTTAAATGCAAACCTTCTGAATCAGGCCACCACATTATGCTTTTGACTAAAATTGCGATCCACAATCAGAGTACAGTATTAACACTTTGTCTTTTTTGGTAGGAAAATTGGTTTAACAAAAGACTTTGTTGAATGAACAGTACTAAATTTCAGATAGTTAGATAAGTATATGATTCTCTCATGAGGCCTCCATTAGCTAATTATTACAGAGGAATATAAAAACTCCTAGATATAGAAAGGAGCAAGAGACAAAAAAGGACACTCTGGTGAAAGGAGCTTTTCAGACTGGAGTTGAGGTCGTGGGGAAAGAACATTCTTGGGAAAGCCGTGTAGTGTGTTTCTTCCTCTGGATAAAAATCATTTCATATTAGTCTTGGTGATAAGTAAAGCATGCTCTTTTCTGGACATATGTCTGAGGGAACTGACTACTGAGGTAGATACATGTAAAAAAAAAAATCTGTAAGGAATTAGTATTTTTCAGCTTCATAAACCTAAACAATTTTATTAATGTTCTGAGGCAAAGTGCTGGCCTTTTTACAATTCCCAGTAGGAGATGGTCATCTTTTCCAAAATTCTGGCCTTTGGGCATGTGGTTCCTTCAACTGGAAGAATTTTGCCCCTCTCTTCAGCAGGTCTGCTCCAGCTCACCCTTCGGATGTGAGCTTAAATTGACCTTCTCAGAGTGGCCTTCCAAGGCACCTTAGAGAAAGTTAAACACTCCTTCCCTTCTAGTCTTTTTTTTCCCCCGGCTAACATAATACCTGCCCTATTTAACACGTCATAAATTTAAGTGATACGTTTATATACAGGGTGGGCAAAAGTAGGTTTCCAGTTGAATACAAATAAATAATAAATAATAATACAAAAATAAACTCTGTTTTATGTGCTCATAATTGTAAACCTACTTTTGCCTCACCTCTGCTTTTGCTCACCCCTGTATTTGTTTACTGTCTTATTAAACGGGCCTGTTAGAACACAGTGTGCTCTGTGCAGGCAGAGGCTGTGTCAGTTTGATTCACCATGGTGAGCTAGGTGTGTACCTAACTCAGTGCTCAGTCCAAGGCTGAAATGGAAAACAAAGGTGCCAAATGAATGAATGTCTTTCACACATGATTTAAGTGATTAAATTCTAGATTATTTTTTAAACAAGCTAGATATTTTGTTTAACATTCCTTTAGCTATTTCTTGCTCATTTATCCTTTGATTTAACATTTAAGAACTCAGTTTGAAACTACTTCATGGTTTCCTTGACTACAAAAAAAAAAAAAAGTACACAAAAATTATTAGTTTCCTAATCTCTCCTGAGAACCAATGTTTTCAGATGATTTGGAAAACTTCATAGGCAGGTTTCCCTGGCAAGGTGCTGAATGAAGTTGTTTCTGTTCACTATTTGACCATGACAAACTCAGAAGTGAGAAATGATTCCTCAAAGTTTCACACTACATATTAAATATATAAAGTTGTGATATGTGTAACATTTATAAAAATAGAATTTACAGGAAGTTCTAGGCATAAAGTGGAGTTCATTTCAAAAACTGTGCTCTGTGAATATAAATGTTTATTCTTTCTTGGATTTATTTCTTTTGATATAACTATATCTGTATATAACTTTAGATATCCTTACTTAATATGCCTTTTGAAATATGAGATAAAATACATAAACATTAATTAACTTTACATATTTTTCTAGTAAACAATATTTTTTTTACAAGGCAGTTTTTCTATCATTAATTAAATCCTAGCTTCCTAGGGTCCTAACTATACATGTTGCTAATAGGTAATGGAAATGTCTCGCAATGATTCTTAAGTGGAGACTAAACATATATATGCATATATATGTATAATTTATCTATATATATGATATATATATTTATAAACTGTGACTCTTTGTAAATGCTTTGAAGATTGCCATAGTTAAATTTAGCTGATGTTGAAGGTACTTTACAAAATAATTTCACATACTTTTCAGGTATTTGAGCTACTTTTAGAAATAAACCTCAATTTAACAAACTGGTAAAAGCAAAAATAACTTTTACATATTGTGTTCAAACCACTTTTCATTGGGAAATGTTCATTGTGCAAAATGGCTTGAAATTACTTAGACATTTTTTAATCTCTCAAGGTAGGACTGTCCAAGCTATATTATATCCTTCTATCAAAATCACCAATTACTGCTATACTTACTTTCCTTATTTTTCTTATAAAGTACTTCATAAGTTTTCAGGTGCTTTAATACTTTATCCATAGACAATTAACAGTTCATTAACAATTGAAATTGTTCTCTTCAAACAAAATATATCACCGCAAAACATTTTGTAAAATATTGAAGTTTGAAACATTTTATTTATTTAATAAAGATTCTATATCTTCACCAAATCTTCTGTTCCTGCTTATATATATGAAGAAGCTCCACAGTCTCAGCAGAGGGATGTGTGAAAGGGCGGCTCCAGGTCACCATCACGCAACGGCAGACCGCCTGCCACTTAGAATTTCAAAACATCAGGATGACTCGAATGCTGAAATGTAAAATAATCATTTTTAGTGATTTGTGCCCATACTTTTCAAACAAGAACAGTTTAAGCAATTATCCATGCTACCTATTATAGAAAACTTCAGGTAAATTCTGTTGCTGGAAATCCTCCTGCACCAATTAATTTTCTTTCTCACGGGTCTATGATGAGAGTTTCTGAGCTGATTCTTGAAGCCTCAGCACAACTGCACCAGGTTGACTGGGGAAAGAGATTTTCTGGCCGTAGAGAAAGCATGAATAAGCCTGGGAAAGTGTGAACAGGAAAGGCAATCCATTGTGCTCAGACTTCTGGATGCCTAGAAGATTGTGGAAGTAGATGAGACCTACTCCCTGACTTTATCCTCACAGCCTGGCACTGAGGCTGCAGCCCAGTGGGTGCTAAATTCTCTGCTTTGGAATGACTGGCTATATTAACAAATGAAAAGTAAAGGCTTTCAAAACCATGTAAAGGCATTGATGTTTGGGACAACTTGAGTTTTAGTAGCTTAATGAAGGCCTGAGCACTTTGGTAAAGTACAGAAGGCAGGAGACCTTTTCCGCTACTGTATTAACATGCCCAGGGAAGAGATGATTGGACTGAACTAGGTAATGCTCTGGGCAATGAGAGGGAGGCAAGATGGAGGAGAGCCTGGGGGTTGCATCCTCAGGGCTCAGCATCAGTTTGCATGTGGTGGGCGAGAGTGAAGAAGTCAAATGCGATGCTCTGTCAGTAAAAGCAGAAACATGGCATTATTTGAGGTAATAATGTAGGAGGTACTGGTGGAAGACTTATCTGGGGCTAAGTTGGTGCAAGTGTAACACTCAAGTGAAGCCACGCAGGAAGTACATGTAAACCTAAGCTCTTTGTGTCCGAGGATAAAGGTCAGTTTGTGATACTAGAAGCAAAATTTCTGAGAGCAGAATTTCTGTTTCTTTGGACAACAGTTAATAAGTATGTTTCAAATTGGTCATACTGAGCTATTTGTTTAGCTTCACTGAGTAGAGGCTTGTTCTGACAGTTTAACCCATTGTTTTCTTGCTTAAAACAGGTTTAAATGTATGTTAAAAGTACACTAACCTGGTAGTCCAGGCCAGATGTAGAGACACAAGACAACATTGAAAAAGCACTTGGGGAAAACTTGTAAGAGTTTGGATCTCATGTTAACAGTTCCTTTTGCTAATGAAATCCAAATATTTGGTGTATGGTGGATGTCCAATAATATTTACAGACTCCAGTGAGTGAAATTTCATGTCATCTTTGTAGAAGGCTCTCTGACTGCTGTTGCAAACATCATAGTTAATGTTTGTGTGACTTTTTTGTATTCTACATCTGCTGTTGCCCAATCCTCAGAAGCAACAAGAGTAGTGACAATAACATCCATGTTTGCCAGGAACCTGCCAGTTCAGTCAGAGGAATTCACAGGCTCTGCATTGAGTTTACAGCCTGGTGCCGCCTCTACAAGGTACAGCAAGTTATTTACTTGTCTTTCACAATCTTAGTTTGTTCAACTACAAATGGTAGAAACAACATGGGACCTTCACGATTAGAAGAAAGCTCATTTGAAAGAGCACTTTGAAAATTGTAAAGGAAATTTTGTGGTATTACTTGAAAAAGCTAGCATCTTTATGATGAAATAAAAATAGCCATGATGAAGTCAGTCCACTGCAGAAAACAAAAGCCCAGTTTAAAAATTGTTTAATACAAGACAATGATATACTAAGTCTATAAAAAAAGTAATCAGCTATATCTTGCTAGTTAAAAAATTTAGAAATAGGGGAACAATGGGGGGCATCTGTAATAGTGTCAACAATAAAAAATCAGAAATAAAATATAAGAGAAACAGGTATATTTATAAACAGTAAAATTTAAAAGTAGCCTGTGTAAGACAAGATCACCATAAAAAGCCAAGTACCTTTGCCCTGAATAGAGCAGTTCAAATCCATCCTGGATTTTTTTAAAAGGTAAAACATGGGTTATCAACTGGTCCAGGTCATATTTCCCTTTCAGGAAGTCAGTCACTATTTTTGGAACATCATCCCTGCTTTTCCAACCTGTAAATAAGCACATATTTCTCTTCAGACTTTATTAAATAATATTTATATTTTATTATATTTGTAGCTTATCTCTTCTGCATTTTTACCTTTTCCCCATGCTGAACTCCTCAACATCACACAAATAGGCTATTCTTCCACCTTAGGAATCTGTTTTCAATTGCACACAAATAAACTATTCTCCCAAGGGCCAAAAAAAAAACCCCCACAGAAAACCTTTCATGACCCAACATCTCCTTCAAGCTGCCCCAAATCTCTGTTCCTTTTTCAGAAAAACTTCTTTATTTTACAGAAAAAAATCATCTCCAGTTCATTGCTTCCAGTTCCACCATCCCTCCTGCCATTCCCTCTTGAGCCCACTGGGCACCTGCAGTTGCAGCTCTCGTTAAGGCCACCATGACAGAGAAAAGGGTCAATGGGAGGCTGAAGCTTGTGCCCTCCCTCACCGTTATCTCGGGCACAAAAATGAGAGGCTGCTAGGTACATAGGTGGTTCTTTAGGGCTGGCCCCTTAGAGGAAATAAGACTTGAACTGACGAACAAACAACAAGAGATATGAGTTGAGCCACCTCATTTCAACTATTTGTGTGATATGGAGACATAATGAATTATTAGAAATAGAGTGAGTTATTTAGTGAATACCTGTTGGGTATACGCTAGTACCAGGCACCAGGCTGGGAATACAGCAAAGCAAAAAATACCAGGTTCCTGCTACCAGGAAGCATGGGAACCCTCACTCTTTACTTCAGAGAGACTGACAATGAACAACCAAAGGCAGAGGACATCTTCCAGTGACACAGACGAGAAGAAAAATAGAGCAAGGGCCATGGGCAGTGCTGCTGGGACCGAACAGGTGAGGGGCAGGGAGGGAATGCTATTTTATAAAGCTCAGGGAAGGCCTGCCTGATAAGGTGACATTCAGACCAAAACATAAAGGAAATGAGCTAGGCAGGAATCTTGGGAAAGAACATTTCAGGGAGAGGGCAGAGTAAATGCAAAGGCGTTGAGGTGGAGTGCTGGCAAGTGAGAACGGCAAGAAGGCCAGTGTGGCTGGAGCAGAGTGAGAACAGAAGAATAGCAGCACCTGGGGTCGGGGGGCAGATCATATGGACTCTGGCCATTGCATGTTTGGGGATTTTATTCTGAACAAGAAAAGAAGTCATTAGAGCAGCAATTTGCAAACTTTTTCCTATCATGGCACACATAAACCAATTACTAAAATTCTCCAGCACACCCAAAAATGCCAATCTAAGAAAAACAAGAGTTATAATTTTGATAGATTTACAAGAAAAAATAATAGTAATTACCTGCCCTTTTTGCTGTAAAGTGACTTTTTAGAAAATCAGGTGCCTATACTTGTATGTAGGATTTCTGGTACCAAAAAATAAAAAGTCAGATGCAACTTTATTATGCTGCGTGACCAATAAGATCCAGCTCTGTTACAGGACAACTATTGTTGTGTTGGCTATCGTCATTTTTCTGACAACCTAAGGGAAAAGAGGTCAGTGCCTCTGGCTACATAGTCAGGTATTGCATGTTTTAAAAATTCTTGCAGTGCACCAGTGTGCTATGCACACTGCTTGAAAATGGTTGCATTAGAGAATTTTGAGAGAGGCGTGGCCTGACCTCACTTCCTCTGAAACAGTTATGCTCTAGTTGTTCTGTGGGGAATGTTCTATGTAGGGGCCAAGGACAAGAGCAGGGAGACCATTTAAGAAGTTACTATGATGACGGAAGGAGCTGATGGTGACCTGGACAAGTGATGGTGAGAAATGGTCATGTCCTGGGTATACTTTGAAGAGAAAGCCAACAGGATTTGCTGAACTATTCACTGTGTGAAAGAAAGAGTGCAATCCAAGGTTTGGGCCTGATCAACAGGAACAATGGAGCTGTCATTCACTGAGATGGGAAGACTGGGGGAAGAGTAGGTTGGGGTCTAGGGTGGAGGTGGTGGCAGCAGGAGAGGTTTGGGGCAGGTTAGGTTTTCACATCTATCAAATATGCCAGTCAGGTGGGCAATTGGTTATATGAGTCTGTAGCTCAGCTGGAGGTCGAGGCAGAAGATATAAACTTAAATCCATGAGAGCAGAGGCAATTACCTTGAAAGTAGATGTAAATAGGAAAAGGTCTGAGGACTGAGCCTAGGACACACAAAAGTTGGAAATCTGAGGATGTGGAGGCTCCAGCAAATATTCCTGGAAGGAATGACCATGGAGGAGAAGGAACAGAACAAGAACAACAAACAACAAAGTAATATCTAGAAACGAAGTGAACAGAGTGAGAAAAAGGGAGCTACCAGCTGTACCAAATCATGCTGATAGCTCATATTAGACCAGGACTAAGAATTGAACATTTTTTTTGTCAGTAATTCTAGTGTGTATCTCAATTGTTCCTATAAAATGCAACAACTCCTTTTTGTTTATTTTGAATATGAGTCCAGAATTTTTTGTTGATGTTATTCTCAATTGAATAAATTCTATTTTTCATACATGTTCTTGCATACATGAGGAAATGGATTTATCCAGCACTTCCTTTTCCATAAAACCATTCCCATGGAAATATTGCCAGTGTCTCTCGTTCAGGCATTTGAGAAACTTGAGTTGCAAATGCTCATATTAAAAATGTGCCCACCAATATTAACACTATCTCCAGGTGAGGAGGGGTAGACAATGATCTTTTGTAACATTGTGGTCACAGCCTCATGTTAGATCACTTCATATCTATCTTTGGAACAAAGAACTTTAAGGGAGATATGATGAGACAATAGTTTCTCTCACTTGTTAAAGTGACAGAATTAAAGCCATCCCTCCTAGGACAGAGGCTCTGCCACTCTTACCTCCAAACACGCATCCCTTCCATGTGCGTCCAGAGAAGAGCAGGAATGGGTCATATGTAAGCTTGGTGTCTGATGGAGGAGCACCTACCACCACGCTAGTCCCATAGTTCTCATGGCAGGATGCGAGGGCATCAACCTGTTTAAAATGGAGACTATTTTTTTCTTCTGTCTCATAATATCTCACGGGCTCACAAGTGCCCAACATACTCTCACAGCTCCAGTAGTTGTAATAGTTTAAGTTTCCAAGTCATGGTGTTAAATTAGGCCCACATGCCTTTTGTTTTCTGCTCGTGTTATAAAATTCTCAAGACAATGCTAGTCTACATTTAGTCTTTCATACATTTGTGCTTTAAAGCAGACAGCAGAAATTCTTGTGGTCAGTGTTCATGGCATTTTCAGTGTGCCATGGGTCAAATCCAGGGGAAATCATTGTGATATTTTCCAATCAATATCACCATATCAGATAAGCCTTGGAAAGCATTTGGAACTAAACTAACTTCAATTAACTATACTGAAGTTATTTTTAAATGCTTATTTAAAAAGTTTACTGTGATAATTAAATAAAATACTAAAATGGGAGTTAAGGAAGTCTTTGGGTTTTTGTTTTTTGTTTTTTTGAGATTAATCCCACATTTTCTGATCATTTGCCTGTCTGGTTTTTCATTAATAATTTTTGAATACTTGCTAGATTGTAGCAATGGATGTTGAATTTTTCAGAGATCAATGTTCAGCAATACATTATCTGGAAACCAATAGCCCTTAACAATATAGCCAATATTTCATGTTGGCTCTGTAAACATACAACCTAGAATGCTATTTGTTGGTACAGAGTAATTCTAAGTGGCATTGCTCTTATGTAATGTCATGCTCCTAGTGACATTGTTAGGAAAGGAGCATGACAACAATGGTAAATTAAAGACTGATTATTCATAAACTGTCAATGGTATTAAAATGATTCAAATCTTCTACTCAGTCATGAGCAAGATTGGTTTTGTCTCACATTTCCAAGCGTCCTTTCCCTACCCCAGGCTGGGGCTTCCTTATCCAGAAGCTCCACACCTGCTCCTACATGGAGGCCGGTGCCGCTGGCTGCCACAATGGAGCCACGTTTGAGAAGTTGAAGGCTCCTAGTCTAAGGGAATTCAGACAAGAGAAAACAAAACCCAGCTGTGAAGAGAGAGAAGTTGGTTACATCATGGATTTTGGGGAAGAGACTGCCAAATTTGGAATAGCCTCTTCCTCGCCAGATCTCCTTATTTCTCCTCAGGAAGTCACTTTGTGCTGTTTGGCTTGCTAAAGTATCACAGATGGGATCACCTTTGCCAATAAATTCCCATACACAGACAAGGAAGAGAACACAAAAGGCTGTTGAAGTGGTTGATTACCTTGAACTCCAATCACATGAGAATAATGTGATGTGATACTTTGATCACTCAGAACTTCTCATAAGCTTTTGACTTTTGGGCAAAACTGCTTCATTACCAGTTTTTGCCTAACAGCTATTTCCATAGGTATTTGTTAATAAAGCTATGGAAAGTGAGTCTTACCTTGTGTGAGTAAATAACTTGTGTATTGTGTGGCTCCCTCAATCTTGGTTCTTACCATTGTATCAAGACGCCCAATTACTTCAAAACTGTAGCTCACGTTGTTGTCTGTCATTTCTGACAGCACCTCACTGATGGGCTTGGTAAAGTCCTTGGGACTGATGCACTCCGTGGCTCCAACAGCCTTGGCCTTCTCAAACTTGCTTTTGTTGAGGTCAATTCCAATGATCCTGGAAGCACCAGCTGACTTACAGCCCATAATGACTGAAAGGCCAACTCCTCCCAGGCCAAAAACAGCACAGGTGGAACCCGGAGTGACCTGCGGAGATAAAAGTTTTTGCAAATGCCAGTGGTATGATAAAAAATTTAAAGCTATAAAGTATCTCCACTATTAGGAACACAAAATTCAGAGGATGTTAGGATTAGATCACTTAGTCTGAAGATAATGCCACAAAGATTAGAAATGAAAGGTCTGAGAACAAAAAAGGAACAAAAATAGTATTTACTGGATAAGTGAAAATTCTTTATAAAAGCATACATCTTATAAAAGGCCTTTGTAATGCGAGTTTTTGCAGTCTTCTAACCTCATCTAGCCTCACAGCAGGATTAAATAAGCACTAAGATCTCCATTATCTCTTCTCCACAAAGCTATGCAAAATCAGTTTGAGATTCTGGTCTGACTAGCATTTTCTTAATAAACATAACTGAGACATTTTTAAATAATTTGGTTTTTCATCAGAGTCCAACCTCCATGTTTTAATTAGATGATCCATATGTAACTCCAGGAAGGAAATGTAAAGTCATTTTTGATCTTTTTACCTTGTACTGTCCTATATTACTGGAAGGTCTAGCCAAAAGTAACTTTCCTGCTAGAAGAGCCCTAATCACCATATTGCAGGAGACCTGAATACCGGAAAAGTACAGAATGGGTATGACACTCATTTTGGTACTTTCTTCTGCCTTCTTTCCTTTTTCTCCCTCCCACCTGTCCTTCCTTCCTTCCTTCCTTCCTTCCTTCCTTCCTTCCTTCCTTCCTTCCTTCCTTCCTTCCTTCCTTCTTTCCTTCCTTCCATCCTTCCCTCCCTCCTCCCTTCCTTCTCTCTGTCCCTCTCCTCCCACCTCCCTCTCCTTCTTTCTTCCCTCTTTTTTTTTTAAACCTCCTGGTTACTTAGCATTATCCTCTCTTACAGAAATTACCTGAAGAAGTAGCTTGTGTGTGTATATGTATGCATGTATTTTGAAATGTTTGCACCTATAAGCAGAGATTTATAGAGAACTGCAGCGGCGTTGTACCCACTCTCCATGAGTTATAATTTCAGCTACAGCATCCTAATTCTTCAATTTCATTCCCGATTTTCGAGCTTTGAAATCAGTGCAGTCATTCTCTCAAGTATCATTCAGTCATTTATTCATCCATTCAACAAACTTTATTGATGGATTCCTTGATGGCCAACATTTTATAATTTTACAACAGAAACTAAACCAGGAATTCTCGGTCTTTTCTTCTAGTTTTCTGCTAGCTTAATTATCTAGATTTGAGATGGAATCTGTTGTTTGTGGTTGAATTTTAGGTACAAAAGGTTATGATTCTAGCTTTGTTTGCTGGGAACTCATTCAACCCTCCTTATTAAATCTCTAGTAAACCTCAGAATCTGGTGGCCCCGGAGTACAGTCTTGCTGATAATTAAGGATTTGTAGCACTAAACACTTCTCCCTAAGTCCTTGATTCCTGACTTCCTTGCCACACTGCCTCTGAATCTTTAAGTGGATCATGGCCCCAGTGTCTGGTAATTTTAGATCGTTCCCTATACCCTCCTCCCCACTGATAAAACCAACAACAGCAAGCCAACAACTTATCTCCCCTTTCCAACTTTCCTGTTCTAAGGAATGGGGACTGGAGATTAGTATCTATAGTAAATCATCACATCATTACTATGGAAGAAAATAATAGTTTAAGATAACAATGTTAAATACAGGTTATTTTAAAATTTTTTAAAAATTTAAAGTATATAAGTTTCTACTTTTTGCTATTGTTTTTCTTCACTGTTCTGATCCATTTAGTGTTCTTTAATAATGGTCTGTGTTTCACCATGCCAAAGGTCTTTTGGACTGGTGCTGGATCGGCTCCTGGGAGATAACTGTTGACTCTTTGGAATATCCTGCCTGATGTGAGCGTCTTTGTGTGCCTGAGATCTGTGTTGTGCCAGATAATTTATGCTAACACTGAGGTTTGTGGTGAATGATTGTCTGTGGCTTTGAGCCACCAGCTTGACCTCTGGCGGTGCTGGGGTCCGAGTAACAGAGGTCAGTCATGTCAGTTCTGCATGGCTGCATCCCACAAAAGAAACCCTGACACCAAGACTAGAGTGAACTTCCCTGGCTGACAAACATGTGTTGTCACACATTGTTCCAGGGAGAATTAAGCTCTGTATCTGGACACCATTGGGAGAAGACAACTACAATCTTGCACCTGGTCTTTACTGGACACTATGTGCCATTTTCTTTGCTGGTTTCAACCTGTATCCTTTTTCTGTAATAACCTGAAACTTTGTGTACAATGAATTCTGAGTTACGTAAATTCTTCTTGTGAACCACTGAACTGAATTGCAGTTTGGGAGACTCCCAATTCACCCTCATATTACAACTTACATAAGTTTGAACTATTTTCAAATAGGCAAAGGCAAGTACATATGTCTCCTCAAGTGATTTGCCTTATGATATAGCTTCTAGGGGAAAAAAAAAACACCTAAAAGTAAAAGATGTATTGGTTAATAGTATATTCCTCATTAATAATATGGTATTAATATGCCATGTACTGTAAAAAAGGTATAAGTACTAATGTAAAACTATGTCCAATGTCTATTCTTTTACCTCTATCTTGGTAGAGAATTCTTTAGAAAAATTTTCAGAAAAATTCTTAAGGACAATCTCAAGGAGACCTTGGGAAGAAATGTTCCATCTTCAAGATTTTCCAAAGAAATCTAGAAGCAAGTGGGAACTAAAATATTCCACTGGTATATGCAGGCATGCCAATGTTATACATTTGTACACCTCAGACCTGTCTTGTACCCATGTCTGGGAAAAGCTACCTCCCTGGATTTTATCATCTAATCAGTAAAACTAAAGATATAACAAAACTTTGAGACTTGGGACACTCCCTGCACCTGAAGCAACATTCTGTTGAATTATGAGAAGAAGTTTTTGCTTAGATGGAATAGACAGAAAAATAAGATCTTCTCTGAGCAAGCAGGTAACTTTAAACTGAGAGTGATATTAAGGAACCAACCACATGAGAGCTTGGGAGAGGAGTGTTCAAACAGTCAGACTAGCATGTGTAGATGCCTTCATGTAGAAACAGCTCAGCAAGCTTGCGGATGCTAAAACAGGCAAGTGTGGCATGAAATGAAACTGTTTCAAGTGTGAAAACTACTGAAGGATTTTTGGACAAAACTAATGTGGTCCAGTTTATGTTTTATGAGATTACCTTGGCTTGTAAATGGAAAATTATTGGAAATGGTCAAGGAGAGTAATGAGGACAACAGAAGGGAGGCCATGGCATGGGTCCAGTCAAGATATAATAATGATATTACATTGAAGAAAATGGAGAGATTTAAAATATACCTTGTACATAAAGTTAACAGGACTTGCTCTTGGATTTCAGCTAAGATGGTGGGGAAGAAAGATAAAAAATGAAGAAATTGGAAAGGGCAAATATGTTTGAGGGACAGAGAGTAAAAAAGTTAAGAATTCAGTTTTATATCTATTCAGTTTGAAATATTTGTGAGACATGAACATGGAGGTGTCAGATAGGGAGTTGGATAAAAGAATTTGGAGAGAGTTTGAGTTATTTGGGATCAAAATACATAGTTTTACTAAAGACGTGGGAGTTGATGAGAACACCATAGTAAGGGAATTGCTTGGATTGCTTGTGGGAATGGCTGTCCTATTACAAATTACATGTTATTCTACTTATTTCTTGGACTTATTAATAGCTACATAAATTGAGTCCAAATATGCATTCTTAAAAACTCATTTGTATACAAAAGAGACAATAAACCAGAATTTCATTTTGCCAAGTTGTTCTAAAAAACAAACAAACAAAAAGAACACCTCATTTATACTTTCATATTATATACCAGCTATTATGGATTGAATTGTGTTCCATCCAAATTTGTATGTTGAAGTCTAAACCTCAGTACCTCAGACCGTGATCTCATTTGGACATAGGATCTTTGCAGAAGTAACCAAATTAAGATAAGCTCATTAGCGTGGGCCATAATTCAATATGACTTGTGTCCTTCTCAAAAGGGGAAATTTAGACACAAGGACTGGCATTACTGAAAGATGATGTGAAGGAGAGCCACCTGGCACAGATCCTTCACTCACAGCCCTCAGAGAACAACAATCCTGCCAGCACCTTGATTCTAGTCTCCAGAATGTAAGACAACATATTTCTGTTTAAGCCACTTAGTCTGTGGTACTTCACTAGGACAGCCATTAGCAAACTAACAAACCAGCATTGATACCTATATTGTGTAAGAAAAAAGATGAGTTTCAATAAACTCAAGGTGGATAAAAGACTTAAATATAAGTCATAACACCATCAAAGTCCTAGAGGAGAATATTGGCAGGAAACTCTCAGATATTCCATGCGGCAATTTTTTCACCGATATGTCTCCTAAAGCAAGGGACATAAAGGAAAGAATAAACAAGTGGGACCTCATCAAAATAAGAAACTTCTGCACAGCTAAAGAAAACATCAGCAAAACGAAAAGCGAGCCAACTCTATGGGAAAATATATTCGCTAATGATACATCAGACAGAGCTTTGATCTCCAAGATACATAAAGAACTCACTCGACTCCACTCCAAGAAGACAAACGATCCAAACAAAAAATGGGCAAAGGACCTGGGCAGACACTTTTCCAAGGAAGAGATACAGAGGGCCCAGAGACATTTGAAAGGATGCTTGGCATAACTAGCCATCAGAGAAATGCAGATCAAAACCACCATGAGGTACCACCTCACACCGGTCAGAATGGCCATCATAAACAGATCCACAAACAACAGGTGCTGGCGAGGCTGTGGAGAAAAGGGAACCCTAGTCCACTGTTGGTGGGAATGCAGACTGGTGTAGCCATTGTGGAAAGCAGTGTGGAATTTCCTCAAAAAGCTGAAAATGGAACTGCCTTTTGATCCAGTGATTCCCCTGCTGGGACTATACCCTAAGAACACCAAAACGCCAATACAAAAGAACCTATGCACCCCAATGTTCATAGCAGCACAACTGACAATAGTCAAGTGTTGGAAGCAACCTAAATGCCCATCAGTAGATGATTGGATCAAAAAACTATGGTACATTTACACAATGGGACACTACGCAGCAGAAAGGAAAAAAGAACTACTAAACTTCGCGACAGCATGGATGGAACTGGAGAGCATTATGCTAAGCGAAATAAGCCAGGGGGTGAAAGACAAATACCATATGATCTCACCTATAAGCGGAACCTAACCAACAATACAAAGATGCAAGGAAAATAAGACCCACAACCCTGAAAGGAAAAGAAACCAACAGAGACAAGAGGGAAAGAGGGAGGGGGGATAGGGGAAAAGGAAGGGAAGTAGAAAGTCAAGGAACATATAACAAGGACTCATGGACAAAATCAAAGGGGTAGAGTTGAGGGAGGGGGGGAGGGAGGGAGGGGGCAAGGGAAAGTGGTGGGGGGGAGGCAGAGACAAATGTAGTTGAAAAAATTAATTTATTAAAAAAGAAAAAAGGATGTAGCAAAAAGGCCTTTAAGTTTGTATTAACATGCTAAATTTTTTAATTTTTATCACTAATTTATTGTTATATTTTTAATCGGATGACAAATTTACACCTTTTTAAGATAACATTTAATTTTGAAGATATTTGCATTCAAAACATTAATAAAATATATTTTCTTTTAAAGTGGAAAGTATCATGCCATGTTATCCCTGTGAGGTCAAATATAAATGCTGAAGTGATCCCTTTCTTCCTCTCCTCTGGATGCCTGCATGCTTATTTTCTATATGGCTAGTTTTCACTTAATCACTACCTGATGATGTATCTTCAATTGCTGAACTAAAACTTTAAAAAAAGGTAAATAACCACACTGGATTTAAAGCATAAAGTAATATTTCTTTCTCCAAAATCCTTTGTTTCCTCTCCTTGACATATTTGCAAAGTTCTTAAAAGCATGGACATTTCTTATACCATGCTTATTTCATATACCCCAAAATGGGTAAAATGAACCCAGAAAGGACAGTGTCCATGGTAAAGCCATGGCATAAATATTGTTCATATTTCTTGTCAATTTTACTAAAAGACTTTTTGGAGAACTGGTTAAGTATTCCTTACCATTAACACTAGTAAGAATTTTTAAATGTGTTTATATTGTTTAAAGTCCAATGCAAAAATCACATATAAAATTAAAAAAAAAAAACTTGAGGGAATATGCTGGTAGGTTGTTTGGGCCTATTTCTCTAGAACCCTGAAAGTAAGAGATTTTTCAGTTCATGTGGGATTTTTTTGTAGAAAGGTTTTAGAATGTCTCAATATTGGCACAATGTGTCTTCCACAAAATGAAAGTTCAGTAAATAATTAGGTTGATTACATTTGAGTTGCCATTACATGTAATTTGGAAATCTTGAAAAGCTTACTTTGACATGTTAGACATCATATCAGAAGAAAGAGAAAAAGAAATAGAGAAACAGAATAAATTCAGTTAAGTGACTTCTTAAAACCTCTCACAAGACAATTGGAATTCTCTGTGGAAAACTGAGTTCTTCAAAGGCTGCATTAGCATTAATTAATTTCTCCACTGCTTGTGTAATAAAGTCCAAATTCTTTAGCCTGTCATGCAACCAGATTCCCAGCACATCCTGTGTCTCGTTTTTTCCCTGCTTTATTACTCCCTTTCAAGTCAATTTGCACTACTCCCAGTGCTCCATATACGCAAAAAATTTTCCTGTCTTTAGCTAATCTGTTCCCGCTAACTTGAATGCCTCCCTCTCCCCTGCCATTACCATTTATTATGCATAGTCCAAATGCCACCTCTTCCAGAAAGCCTCCTATGTCCTTTGACCCTGAGAAGTTATGCTTTTTCTGACCTGAATAAGAAACGTATTTATGCCTCTTTCATTGAATTTGTCTTCTGCCTTATATTGTATTTACATGTATGTCTTACTTTCCTTATTTTATTGTAAACTCTGAGTGAAGATAAAATATGTGTATAAAGGCCTAAAACAGTAAATAATAAATAGAAATATTAAAATTCTTCTTAAAAAAAAGAAAGAAGATGAGTTTCAGAATCTAAATTATAAAATTTAGAAATAAACCTGAAGGAAATGTAGAGGAAACAAAATTAAATATAGAAATTTTATTTTCACTTATTTAGAAGTAAAATGTCTAATCTGAATTTTTAATTTTTTCTTCAGTTGATTTGGCATTGTGTAGAAGCAGCCTGCATATTAAATATTTTCAAAAATCTTTAGGATTCTGAAAAATCATTAAGAAAAAAAAAAAAGGGAGAAACTAGCCCATCTGGTTTCTTACCTTGCCAGTTTTAATAGCAGCTCCATATCCCGTGGAAAATCCACACCCAATTAAACAGACTTTCTCAAGAGGAGCCGCGTCATCAATCTTAGCAATGGAAAATTCATCCAACACTGTGTACTCAGAAAATGTGCTGGTGCCTAAGAAGTGGTACACTGTTTTGCCTTTGCATGTAAATCTGCTAGTGCCATCAGCCAGTACTCCACGACCAGTAAAGCTATTTGATACACAAAATACGCATGTCAGTTAATTGATTAAAAAATTAGCACAGGAACAATTTAAATGGCATTAGAATAAAAATGACTGAAACCTACTCGGACTTAATGCAAGCGTTTCCATATGGGTTGAGGCAAACTTTGCATTCTCTGCATTGAGGCAGAAAGAGGGGAATGACTTTGTCACCTAGAGGGAAAACATCATGATATAAGATGTTGATCATTAACATTAAAATATGAAATAAACAAGTGTGAATCGATTCCATGACAAATTCAAGCATTCTAAAGTTTATAAACTTCATAGGGTTTACTTGCTAAAGACTGACTAATTAAACTTCACTCTGTGTCATACATTCATTCTCCTTGTACCCCTTTATTTTCCTAAATTGCATTAAGGTTCTCTCTAATAATCCCTAGTTGTGTTGTTTACTTTGATAGGATATATAGACCCTACTTATCTCAGACTTCTGACTTGACATCCACACACCTGGTTTCACTGTAGTCACTCCGTCTCCAATGCTTTCCACAACCCCAGCTCCTTCATGTCCCAAGATCACAGGAAATTTAGCCACCATTACTCCTTTAATCACATGGTCATCTGTGCCACAGATTCCTGTGGCAATAATCTGTGCTCAAAGACAAGAACATTGCTATAACCAGCACACTGCTCACTTCACAGCTGGGAGGATATTTAACTTATTCTTGAAAAGATTATAATCGTTTACTCAGTATGATTGACTAATATAATAGTGTTGACTCACAGGAGATTCTGACCCTAATACCAACCATCATTCATGATCCCTCTCATCAAGGGATTTACAATATTGCTGCCTCTGCTCCTATTTATAATCTCAGTGTCTGTCTATACTAAGTCAGTGTTCTTGTGAGGGATACAGATGTTACCATGTGGCCAGCACAGAAGTAGATTTTTATAGCCAGGCCCTCTTAAAACTCTCTTAATGAAAGGTTAAAGGGAATGGCTTGCACAAAAGTAAGTGTGGAGCAAAGCCTAACTGTTACTACAGTGCACAGGTAACAGGGAAAGGTCAAAGAAGGACTGGCAGCAACACCTATTCAGCAAGCTGGTAACCAAACCAACCAAAGGGGTTAGGCTGTGTCCAAGGGATTTGGGGAAGCACCCCAGGAAGCTGTCATTTCTCCAGGCATAAATGAGTTTCTCATTCTTTGAGAAAAGTAATCCCAATACTATCTGACTTCCAAAAGATGTCAAAAGAAGTCATTAGTCATGATTACTAACTTGGGAAATGCCCTGTCTGGTTTCAGGAACTGTGACCCTGCCAATACCCTGGAGGGTCCCAAGGCTGGAAATAATCAGGACGCCTTGGAGAAACAGGCTCCTCAGGAGATGCTACCTGTCCCCACTGGCAGGGGTATAGCGCCTGCCTCTCTGCTTTGCCATGGAGGATTGGGTATCAAGGACGAGTAAGTTATCTCGAGCTGAGGTACAACCTAAGATAGATGCCAATCAAATATTGGCAGCAGACAAGAAATTAGGAGGGCACAGAGAAAGGGCAAAAAGGCCCGTACCTCTCTGCTCAGCTTGGACATGGTCGAAGTCCTCATTTTAGCCGAAAGCAGTCTCCTTGTCTCTTGGTGGCTCCCTCCCCATGCCTGGCTCAGGCTTGAAGCAATACCAGAGTCAGCCCTAAACCAAATCTGGCGATTCCCAAGGAAATCAGGCCTAAAAGTAAATTCTTTAAAGTGTGCCTTGTTCTTCCCTAAAAAGCTCTAGCCAGCTCATGCTGGGAAGGAAATTTACATTATTCACAGATCCTAACCCTATACCCTTGGACACTCTTGTGTTTCCTATGCTCTCATATTTAGTTGTCTCTCTTGTTTACTAGTCTGCTCTCGGACCTATGTAAATGAGTGTGTTCCTGGCATTTGTTTTCTTCAAGACATCACCTATTCTCTGTAAACTTTAACACACAGATATAATGAGATAACCTGTGCATTCCTGTAACCTAGCCCCACTGATAACCTTTTCAATAAAAGCCTTTGTACAAAGGGGCTCAGGGTCTTCCCCACTGGGGGATGTGCCACGTCCCCTCTCCCCGCAAAAAGAGAAGTGTTTGCGATGACTCATGTTTAGTCCCCCCACATCTGTGACAGCTCTGGGACGGGCTCTGCTCCCATCTCAGCTGGCCCCGGACAGTAACCCTCAGATTCAGGGAGTGCCATGCTCCCTGCGGCACGCTCCATTCCCTCTATGTGGCAGTTGCTGCCCCACCTGGGAGGAGTGGGGACCTGAGTGGGGCTCCCCTGTGGTGGCACACACTGTCCCATTGCCACGCAGCGCAAGAACTAACCGTTTTTTAAAATCTGAATCATGTCAATACAAATTTAACAAATGAAAGTTTTAACAGAGCTGATTAGTACCATTGTTTTTAATGAATACCAATTTAAACAATAAACAAGAACCATAAGAGAATTAATATACAAAGTTTGAGAAACATCCTTATTTAAGAATCCAACCTCACAACAATGATATACTCAGTGTAGGTGTGATAACATTTTAGGCTTATCTACCCTAAGGGTCATTACCTTGATACGAACTTCTTTAGCCTTTGGTGGGGCAACTTCTATTTCCTCAATGCAAAGGGGTTTATTCAGCTCCCATAACACAGCTGCTTTGCATTTAATAACCTAAGAAATTGATGAGAGTTATAATGGTTTGTAGTTATGTCTTCGTAAATACAGATTTCTCAAATAATAAAAATATGGACAAAAGTTTTTCTATAACATTCTAATTTGACCACGATGATATTCATTGAAGACTAGAATTGTAATCCTTAGAGATCATCTTGTGTGCACCCGTGACTGACGTATGAGAAATGTAGCCCGAATGATTGATCCACAGTCACATAACAAATGAGAAGCAGCGCTGGACTAGACCTGAGCTACAACTCTTTGCTTTTTTTGCTTGTGGTCAAATAATATTACACTAAAATAGGTCCTTGTACTATAATTTCAAATTAACAAAACTGCCCTCTTTTATCACTTATCCACAAGGGCAAATTTATACAACTAAAAATGCTGCTGATTTTTCTGCAAGAATTTAAGCCAGTATTTAAGTGCTATATAATAGTGTAGCAATGGGGAAGGAATTAAAAATTAGCATAGTAGAGATGAAGGGAACCACAGATGTCATGAAGTGTATAGACTGGGAGTTCCTAGGTGACTCAGTCTAGAACTTCACATCTCTATCCCTTTTTTGCACCTTGGTCAGTTTTTGCATATCTTTGGGTCTTAAATGCTGCAAGCAAAAATGACAAAAGTAAACATTTTTGGTACATACAATGCTTAATCAAATTTATAAGGAAAGCATGAAGATGTCCACCCACTCCCACTATTCCTGCCCTCCCACATACCATACTCACACCCAGAGATACATGCAAAGGACAGAAGGAGGAAAATGTAACAAATTAATGAATATATAATACAATATTTTTTCTCCTCAGTTATAAAAAGGTGTTTTTTTGTTTTTGAGGGTTTTTTTGTTTGTTTTTTTGCTAATAGAAATGTAATTCTAAGCCCATAATAACTTTTTTTGTTTAATGAGAACACACAGTACTGTAGAAGGGGCAGTGAAATGGGCAATTCATTAATATCAATACCTTTTTTTTCTTGTAAATGATCACATTTTATTTTTTTGGTAACTTTATTGAGATATCTTTGATATACAAAATCTGGATATATTTAAGGACTATACCTTGATGTTATATGTATCACCACAATCAAACTAAATAACTTATCCATCATCTCTACATAGTTACTAGGATGTTTGTGTGTGTGTTGTGTGTGCATTGAAAAGATGTAACATCCATCCTTTTTAGAAAATTTCAACTATTCAATGGAATATTGTTAACTATCATCACCATGCTGTATATTACAACTCCAGAACTCATTCATCTTGCATAACTGAAACTTTGTACTCTACTTAAGAGTATGTTGACCTTAGACACAGAGATCAGACTGGTGGATGCCAGAGGGGAATGGGGTTTGGGGGTACTAGATGAAAAGGGTGAAGGGATTAAGAAATACAAATTGGTAGTAACAAAATAGTCATGGGGGTGTAAAGTAGAGCATAGCAAATATAGTCAGTAATGTTGCAATGACTGTGCGTGGTGCCCGGTGGGGGCTGGAGGTGTCGGGGTGGGGGAGAACTTGGTGAGGTATGTGATTGTCTGACCACTGTGCTGTACCCCTGAAACCAGCATGGAATAATGTTGAAGGTGGACTGTGGCTGGAAAAAAATTTAGAGTTATTGGTATTTCAAGCTAAGGAGAAGACAATGACAATGGTCACCTCATTTCTTGACAAAGGGTACTTCACTTTTTATATAAAAGTACAGTTTTTGTTGTTTAACAATACCAGTTTCACAGATTAACTAAAGAACTATTTAAAGTTTAAACAAGGGCTATTTTGACCTTTTACCCTATAATTTTATTTTTAAAATCTACCTTAAAAATGCTAAACTCATAAATATCATAATATATATTAGAGGTTAATACAGCACTACTTATAAAAGGAAATATATAACCAATGTATGTAAACAAATATGTAAGCAATAATAGAAAAATGGTGAAATAAATTGTGATAAATCTAGAAATTAGTTATAAATTTAAAACATGTTTACAAATTTAAGTAGGAAAAATAGGATAAAAATATTTATACTGTGAGTACAACTACATAAAATACAACTGAAAAATGTAAGGATGGAAGTACAAACAAAAATGATGGTAGTTTTTAGGATGTAAGAATATGGTTGATTTTCTTCTTCTCATATTTTCTGATCATTTCAATTTGCTAGGATAATTATTGTTATGGGCTGGATTGTGTTACCCAACATTCATATGTTGAAGTCCTGACCTGTAGTACCTCAGGATGTCTCTGTATTTGGAAATAGAGTCTTAAGAGATAATTAAGTTAAAATGAGGTTATTAAGGTGAGCCTTAATGCAATATGACTAGTGTCTGTATAAGGACTCAGACATGTGTAAAGAGAAGACCATGTGAAAACAAAAAGAAGATGGTCATTTACAAGACAAGGAGAGAGACCTCAGAAGAAACCAACTTTGCTGACATCTTGATCTCAGACTTTAGCTTGCAGAACTGTGAGAAAATAAACTTCTGCTGTTTAAGCCACCCAGTCTGTGGTACTTTGCTAAGGCAGCCCTAGCAGACTAAAACATTTATTATAAAAAGGGAAAAAAGTAATCCACAGTGTAAACAGAGCCCCCATTTTCATGAGCTACTGAAACACTAGAGCAACTTGGCATATATATAACCCTTATGCAAACTCTGCTATTGCATAACTATCTCCATATCAAAATTATTCAGGCTTTATGCTGTATCTTAAATTATACACTGCATTACTAACTATAATTAGAAAGTGTTTCCTCCAGCATTGGAAATATTCTAACAATGGTTAGATATCCAGTTTGTAGGACTTGAGCATCTGTTGGTTGGATGGAGTTACAAATTTTTTAGATACCTTTCAGCCATAAAGTTCATTAACTTCTGTGCATGGAGTTGCTAGCTTCTGTAGTGCAAAATTAATTCCCCAATTAATCTAGTTTTTCTGGGTTTCTGACCCAAACTGAAATGTTCTTATTCTACTTCTATTCAATTCCAGGAACAAAGATTCCTAATTCTAACATCATAGGGTCTCCTTATTCATCATATTACCTAGACTTCAAAGTCATCTTCACTTTTACAAACCTTAAGATAGGTTAAAGGCAAAGCTGTTTAAGTTAAAACAATCAAACAACTAAAACAAGAAAAAAGCACCTAACACTACAAAAAGATTGTCTACATTTAAAGCAAGGAACTATTCTGACCAACTGGCAAATGAACAGAAAATGCCAAAGCTATTTCAGAAGTTATTGCTGTTTTTAAAATAATAAATGTACTTTACTACAATGTATTCTTGTTTTTAAAGATTTTTAACTTATTTTTTTTATGAAAACAATGTCTTTAACAAAGCATAATACTCTGTTGTCTACTTTGCATCCCAGAATTAGCATTTTCCATAGTTAACAGCAGGAAAATCTTTTCCCAACAGCGGGGAATGAACCCTGGTCTCCCAATGAACTAGAGGTGAATGCAATGCAGGTCAATGAGACTATTGAAAGCCTCTTTATGGAAACACTTTGCTTTCCAGAGAAAATGCCTTACTTTCCTGAAATCAAGTTGCTATAATATCAGTAAAAGCCACATTTCTCCATTTTCCATCAATGTCTTACTAAAAAACCTTCCATATACTGTTTTCATTGGTATGCTGTTTCACTCTATCCAGTGTCTCCTCCCCAGGCATTTAATTCCTCAAGAAATAACCCCAAGTACTCAATTACTTTTATGTATTCAAAGTTCTAAAAACCAACCCCACAATATTAGATTGAGATCATGAGGTACAGAAATGTTCTGCTTACTTTTCCAGCAGTGCCCATCCTCTCTTGCTCCTGGTTCTGTAGTTCAGTAAACAGACTTTTTCTCACTGATGTTCAGCTCACTCTGCTATAAATAATAGCATCCAATACCCCTAGATAAATAGTCTTCCAAAAGGCCCGCTTTCAACAATGACTCACAGCTTCCGGGACTATCCAGCAGTACATGAACTCCACCCATTGCAGAGAAAGTCATGAATATAAATACAGAAATTTGTGATCAAACTAATGGTAGAGATCTAACAAGGACAAAATAATACAACCTATTGAAAAGAGCTGAAAGCATTCTTACCTCTTTATATTTGGGGATATAGAAACAAGTCAGGTTAGTTGAGTTCAACACAATACATTAAGAATGTATTGTGTGCTTCTTCAGCTGCTCTGCTCAGCACAGCTGATCATAGGGATATACATGTATACTTGTATTTGTGCTCTACTTCATTCTGCAAAAAGTTGATATAGTTTGTGGAAAACATAATTAAACATAAATGGCAATAGGGCCAAGGAAATATAATCAATTAGAGTAGAGGTACAGGTTGGGAAAGGAGAATTGGGGGTACATAGAACATAAGATGTGGACAACTATGGTTTCTAGGTGTTTGGGTGACAGAAAGAAAAGTAAAACTTGTTTCCCTTGCACATGGAAAGAGTACAATCTGGACCCAAATCACCATTGTGCCCAGAGTTGTCTAATTTGGTTGTGTAGCTTGTGCACAGCAGGAGGGTGCACAATGCAGACAGGAGGAAATTGAAATGCAGCCTGCTCACTGGCTCTCAGACGCCAAAGGGCTTTCACTTACTTAGGCAAGTGCCTAGTAGCTGACACAAATGCCCTGAATTTGTTGCCTATATTGATGGGAGAGTGTCCAAGACAGATTTCATTAATTACAGTGTTTGAGGCACACTGTCACACTCACCTATAGGTAAACTCATTCTATACAAAGGAGGTTTTTATGCTGTAAATTGAAAGGGTGGGGCAGGTTTTCTGTCTTCAGACAATGGTGTTTATAGAATATTTTTCAGGTAACAGCTATGAACAAAACTTTACTTTGAAAAACTGTTTTAACACAAATATCTCCTTTGATGTAATATAGCAAGTGTTGTAGGTCCAATTTAATGTATATTTATGCCTAATTCAGATCCAGCAATCAGGTTTAGTTGTTCTAACCCTTAGCCAAATTAAAAGTACCAGGTGAAAGTACAGCCAGTTGATAGGGCTTGAGTGTGAGTAATTGTTTTAGTTGCAAATGCTGGTGAAACCAGGTCCATCTTGCAGGTAAAATCAGACAAAGTTGAACTGGTGTGGACAAATAGTACTCTGAGTCTCAATTTTCAAACCAAAGCAACCAAACTTTATCTCTGCAATGAAAAGTTGTTTACTTATGAACAAGGCAAAAGTGTACCAATATGTGTGATGCCAGAACGAACACAAAAATACTCGTTAGTGAATTCATTCTTAGGGTCTTGGCACAACCTTTTAGTACATTAATCTAAAAAATAAAATTTTACAAAAAAATAGTGTTATGGGGTGAGGTTTAATATCTGTATAATCTTTATGATCCGTATCCCTTCTCAATGAGAACTGCCAGGATGATATGTCAAAAGCTGCATTTTGGAAGATAATGTATTAAAAAAAAAAGTTTAGGGAGAAGATGGCAGAGGAGTGAATGGGAGTCACGCTGACCTCCTCCCAAAACCAAACTGGAATTGCAACTGAATAAGGGAGTAATCACCTGGAAAGCAGTGGAGCGATAGTGGGAGAGGAGCCTTGGTGCCGCGGACAATGGATTCTACTCTCACACATCCCAATGGGTGAGAAGTGCGGTGGAGGCTCGAGAGGGTGGGCTGGGTGCCCACGGGCACTGGCACCAGAGGGACATTGAAATGGCCAGTTAGCTTCCCCCGAGAAGAACGGGGTCTGAATCATAAACAGGGACCCCTAAACTACAGCAGCTAAAGCCAAGAAAATACAGACAAAACGCAACCCCAAAAAGTTTAGGGGCGCTCTCTGCCAGAGACAGGTGGCTGGAGATGCAGAGACATTTAAAGGGCAAACGCAAAAGTTGCAGTGGCAGCCACCCTCCTTGATCGCTGGGTAGAGGCGGCAGCAGGGTGGGCTGATGCCTGGGAAAAGACTGGAGAGGAAAACTTTGTGAAGAGAACTGACACGGCGGCCGGTGGAGCCCTGGTGATAGCGCGCTTCCCACTCTGCAGCTACCATCTCGCTCAGGCATAAGGGAATCAATTAACCTGCCTTTTGTGCGCTCCACACACAGCTTGTTTGCATGCAGACTGGTTGGGAGAGCCTTGAGGAGAGACTGGAGACGGAGGCATTGGGGAAAGAACGGGAGGAGGAACCGGGGAGTCCCGACTCCCTCCCCGTTCTGTAGCCTCCATTGTGGGCTGGAAAGGCGCCACCCCAAAGAGGCAGAAGCGGGGGGCGCAGGAACCAGACTGCCTGCGATTGAAACGCAGTCCGCACAAGGTGTGGATCCTTGGCCAAAGGGGTCAGGGAACTGCCCGGAGGCCCCTGAGGAGAGTCTGGAAACGGAGGCATTGGGGAAAGAACGGGAGGAGGAACCGGGGAGTCCCGACTCCTCCTTGCCATAGTCTCCATTGCGCAGGAAGAGGCCACACCCCCAAAGAGCCAAAAGCTGAAAAGCACATACAGACACCCCCAAAACACCCAGTGCAGACGCGCACACTTGCGCCGAGTGACCGGCGAGGGTTGGCAAGCCTGTGTGTAAACTGCGTGGGCTGGCGAATGCTTGCACCGGCCGGCAAGGCCTCCCACAGATTGGCACTGATACGGCCTGCGAGGGAGTGCACAGAGCGGCAAGGGCAGGTGTAGACTGATCCGCCCGCCCACGATTGCTGAGCGGCCCACAAAATTAGTAGAGCTTCCCAGAGTCCCTGGAGGAGAGACCAGAGACAGGATTAACCGGAGAGTCCTGGAGCTGACTTCCTCCCATTTCCGTAGTCCCCATTTGGCGAGGGCAAGCAATGCACCCAAAGAGCCAAAAGCGGGGAAAATACACAATAGAAGACCCTAAACTGACCAGTGTCGTGGAGCTCGCCAGCCAGGGGGGCCAGATGAGTATGTGAGGTTGCGAATAAGCCCCCTGGTTTGGGGCAAGCACATGCGAGCCTAGGCAGGTGGGGGATCCTACCCTCACTGGGAGCGTGCTCAAGGAGCCCGCATGAGAGTGCAGAGAGATCCCAAAAAATAGCCCAGCCCTGACCGAAGGGGTCACAGAGCTGCTCCAAGCAGGAGTCAGACACAGACATTAGACTCCTGGAAGGCTCAAACAAAAACCCAAGGTCCTATAGGGTCGACAACTGACATCATCAGAGACAGGCCCAGAAAGAAAAGTAAAGGACAAAAATACTTAACAGACTCTCACAAAAATGGGAAGAAAAAGAAGTTCCCCCCAAATGAGTGGAAAAGGGGGCTCCCCACAGAGAGAGCTAAATGAAATAGAGGCAAGGGAACTATCAGATACTGAATTCAAAACAATGGTTCTAAGGAAGCTCAATGAGCTCAGCCAGCTCACAGAGAACTATGAGAAACTGCAGAGAAACTATCAGGATTTTACAGCAAACTATATCAGCCTGGAAAAGGACATAGAAACTATCAAGAAGACACAAGAGGATATGAAGAATACCATTTCTGAATTGAAGAACACAATAGAAGGGATCCAAAGCAGGCTGGATGAAGCCGAGGATCAAATCAGTGAGGTGGAGGACAAGGTAGAAAGATGCTCCCAGAAAGAACAAGAAATGGAAATCCGGCTGAAAAAGAATGAAGAGGCATTTAGGGAAATGCAGGACAACCTGAAACGCAATAATATCCGTATAATAGGGATCCCAGAAGGAGAAGAAGAGGAGCAAGGGATAGAGAACCTCCTCGAAAAAGTAATGATGGAAAATTTCCCTAATTTGAGGGGAGGAAGGCTCTCATGGATCCAGGAGGCACAGAGGACCCCACTCAAGAGGTACTCAAAGAGGTCCACTCCAAGACACATCATCATTAAAATGGCAAATGTCAAAGACAAAGAGAGACTCCTCAAGGCAGCAAGGGAGAAGGAGAAAGTAACATACAAGGGGGCCCCGATACACCTAGGAGCTGACTCCTCAACAGAAACACTACAAGCCAGAAGGGAATGGCAACAAATATTCCAAGCCATGAAAAACAAGGGCCTACAGCCAAGGCTGCTCTACCCAGCTAGGCTCTCCATTAAAATAGAAGGGGAAATACGGAGTTTCCCAGACAAGAGAAGACTAAAAGAAGACATCTCTACCAAACCAGCACTCAAAGATATGCTAAGGGGAATGGTAAGCAGATGAAGGAAAAGAATGAGACAGAGAGGAACACAGGTACAAAGAGAAAAGATGAGTAAGTTTCTATCAGTAATATCTCTCAATGTGAATGGACTAAATGCCTCAATCAAAAGACACAGGGTAGCTGAATGGATAAGAAAACATGACCTACACATATGCTGCCTACAAGAGACCCACCTCAGAGCAAGAGACCTACACAGATTGAAAGTAAACGGATGGAAAAAAATATTCCAAGCAAATGGGCATGAGAAAAAGGCTGGCGTTCCCATACTTGTATCAGACAAAGTAGATTTTAAAACAAAGGCCATAAAGAGAGACCCAGAGGGCACTTTATAATACTTAAAGGAAAAATCTATCAAGAAGACATCAACATTGTAAACTTATATGCTCCCAATATAGGAGCCCCCAAGTTTATAAGGAAATTGTTGGATGACTTCAAAAAAGATATAGACAGCAACACACTGATAGTAGGGGATTCCACCACCCCACTGTCAAAAATGGACAGAACTTCCAACCAAAACATTAATAAACATATTGTGGTGCTGAATGACACACTGAGTCAAAGAGAATTACCTGACATATATAGAACCTTACATCCCAAAGAAGAAACATACACATTCTTTTCAAATGCTCATGGCAGTTTTTCAAAGATAGACCACATGATAGGACACTAAGCAAGCCTCAGCAAATTCAGGAAAATTGAAATAATACCAAACTTTTTCTCAGACCACAAGGCCTTGAAA